CATGGGTACCATAGAGGTGTAGTGGATCTTGTAGACCATGCCCATTGCAAGTAGCTGTACTCTGTCGTCTACTGTCTCTAAGCCATCCTAGGTTGTCAAAGTGGGCAGAGGTGAGGTGGGTTCTAGATGAAAGGTCAAGCAGTAGTCTGACCAGTTTATTTTGCAATGTTTGAATTTTTATTTTTAGCGCCTTGGAGGTGCTATGGTACCATGACGTGCAAGCATAGTCATAGTACCCTTGAATGAGTGCTCCTGCCAGAGTTTTCAGGGTGTTTTTGTTTACCAGAGAGGAGATCCGGTATAGGAATCTAGTTCTTTGATTGACTTTTTTTATTACATTGCCATTTTGTCACAGGAGAGGTTTGCCTCAAGAATAGATCCTAGGTATGTAATTTCCTTCTTACTTGTGACAATAATGTCACCCACTGCAACTGAGAAGTCGTCGGATTTGCTGAGATTATGTTTCGAACCGAAGAGAATGGACTCTGTTTTACCCAGGTGTAATGATAATTTATTATCGGTGAGCCAGGTGCAGATTCTGCCGAGCTCGGAGCTGAGGGTTTGTTCAACCTGCAATCTGCTCCTGTCAGAGACCAGCAGGGCTGAGTCGTCCGCGAACAGGAACAAGTTGCAGTCACATGCTGATGACATGTCATTTGCATAAATTAGGAACAGTAACGGACCTAATATGCTTCCTTGTGGAAACACCACAGCTCACTGGGAGGGGGGGGGGGGACAGAGTACCGTTTACCTCCACCATCTGTTCTCTCCCCTCGAGGTAGGACCGCATCCAGCTCACCGATAGTTTATCAAAACCAATTGCTTTTAGCTTGTCAATCAGAATGGGGTGATTGACAGTGTCGAAAGCCTTTGTAGGTCCAGCATCACCATGCCGCAGTACTTGCCCTCGTCCACCTCTTGTTTGATGTGGTCGCTCAAATAAAGAAGGCATGTGTCAGTGGAGTGGGATGTTCTAAAGCCAGATTGAAATTCATAGATTAGTTTATTTTCCGCGAGGTACTTTTCGACCTGTTCATATACTATTTTTTCCATGACTTTCGAGATGGAGGTAAGTATAGAAACAGGGCGGTAGTTTCCTGGGTCCAATTTGCTGCCCTTTTTGTGCAGGGGGGTTACTCTTGCAATTTTGAAGTCTTTGGGTACTTTTCCCTGTTTTATGGAGAGGTTAATTATGTGAGCTATGACTGGTGAGATGGCGGTTGCTGTGTCTTTGAGGAATTTGGAGGGGATATTGCCGTGGCCAGTGGCCTTGTTAGGTTGGAGGGCGCTCAGTTTAATGAGTACCTCTGCTGTTGTTACCCTTGCTAGACTGAAATCATCTTTGCGTACCCCTAGGTTTTTGTAGTAGGTCATGATGTGATCTACCCCAAAAAGCGTGGGAGGGTAATTTATTTACAAGAGTTGTGGCTATGATTGTGAAAAACATTTTCAAGTACTTGGCCACATCCAGTTTGTCTGTGATGAGCCTGTTATCTGTCTTTATGTTTAAGTTCGAAAATCTCGTTTTGAGTTTTTTACTGCAGCCAAGCTGGTTATTGAGTAATTTCCAAAGTTCACAGGGTTTATTTTTGTTTTCCTCAGTTTTGACATTGATGAAATTCTTTTTGGCAGTTTTGATCATGGAGCTTACGTAATTTCTTAGTCTGTTTCTTTCAATTTTTAGTTCAGTCACGTGGGCCTGGAGTTCACTGCTCGTGCTTTTGGAAAGCATTGACTGGCTTTATGAAACTCAGAGCATTTTTTGTCTCTGGTTTTCATGGCGGTCATGATGCCGGAGTGCATCCACGGCTCAGCATGATTTTTATCCTGGTTGTTCTTAGGGGGGCCAAATCATTGAGTATTGCAGTGAATTTGTTTTTGAAACCAAGCCATGTTTCTTCAACTTGTGTACCCCTGAGCTCATCTGACCAGTCCAGGCTCTCCAGTTCTAGGTTAGAGTAGTTTAGTAGTTTTTGAGGTCTCTAGATATGACTGTTTTGTGACAGCCGGCCCTTTGTTTTAGCTTTTTGCGGGTACAGAATATCATATAATGATCACTTAAACCGCATGCTATAACCCCTTTACTGGAGATCCTGGACTTGTCAGAGGTCAGAATGAGATCAATGGTAGTTTGTGTTGTTTCACATACCCGGGTGGGTTGGGTGATTAGCTGGCTGAAGCCGTGCAGATCACAAATCCTACTGAAGGACTTGAAGACGGACGTGTCTTTACGTTGCATATCCGTGTTCCAGTCTCCAATAATAATTGTCTCTACATCCCCCACATCAGCCAAACACCCATCTAATGTATCATAAAAGTCACTCTGTTCCGGTGGTCTATAGATTGTCCCGACTATTACAGATTTAGCATTGTCAAAAATAATTTCAACCCACACAGATTCAATATTTTCATGATGCAGGTCAGTACGGTTTTTGAAATTGGTGTCTTTATGTATGTACATGCAGACACCACCTCCATTCACGTTCCTGTCCCTTCTCACTACAAGATAATCTTCAATTTCAATCTCTGAATCTGTAATGGAATTGTCCAAGTTGGTCTCAGAAAAGCAAAATATGCTTGCCTTACCGTTCATGAATAGCTGCCTGAGTTCAGCCAGTTTGTGTCTCAGGCTGTTAGTGTTCAGATGAAAAATATGTAGTCCATTTTTGTTGCTTAAATGCACAATGTCGTCAGCTTGCAGATATTTGTCTTTGTCCGTTACAGCAACCGGCTTGCGGCCTGCCGTGGTGTTTGGAGCGGTGGGGGGAGGTGGGGGAGGGAGGCTCCGTTGTAGCTTTAGTCGTTGATATGCTAGCAGGGTGGCTAACAACATGGCGGATATTTGTTCCCTCGGATCTCGGTTCTCTTCCTCTCGTCACTGCCTCATGCGTGTCTGTCTGCCGAGGCGTCCCCGGGGGAATGTCGAAGTCTCAGTTTATTCCTCGGTCTCCGCTGTCTCTGTTGTCGTCGCGTAGTTGTTGCTGCAGCGGAAGAGATGCTAGTTGTGATGCTAGCTCCTCGAGCTACAACCACTACTTGTTTAGCTAGCATAAACTCAACAAAGCTAGCGTTAGCTGGCTAACTGACATTATTTTGCTGCTAAACTGCATGATATAAAACGGTGGTCTTCAAAGCGGATTTAATCCTCAATCACAATAATAATATTCAAAGTAATACTGGGCATGTAATGGGCAAAACTTACCGTTGATTGACGCGCCATGTCAGCGGACTGGTAGCGACACGGACCGTTAGCCCCGCAGTCATCCGGTTCGACGTGACTATGGCTGTGACTGTTTGACTGACCCGAGCCTCGTTGTTCTGATAGCTCCTCCCCCCACATCTACAGGTGAAAATTACTTTTGCGACACATTTATCGCAAGAAGTGTAGCATAAATCAAGACCGCAGATTTGTCGATTTATACTGCCACAGAGCAGATTCGTCAAGTTGTAATGACTGATTTGAGAGGTTGTAATAACCAAGTTGCAGTTGTAATGGAAAATATATTTAAAAAATATGTATTTTTCTGCAAGTGAACATTTCATCACTAAATTCATTTTTTTTCTACAAGCTACACAACTTTTTTTTCTTCTTCTGTGACATCAAATTTGGTTCACAGTGATGTGGATATTTTATACAAGTGTAAATTTGGTTCACAGTTACGTGGATATTTTATACAAGTGTGAATGTATGCACACAAACTCAGATTATTTTTCTGCAAGTGCTCACATCAGGTTTTACACGCTCTAGCATTTTGTACCATATCTACCTTCATAAACCTCTCTCATACAATAATACAATACAAATGGTGTGTGTGTGTGTGTGTGTGTGTGATGGATCGTTGGAGCTATGTGCAACTCAAGGCATATGCTCGAACGGGAGCTGCCTGGACGCTGCAATCATGTTGCGCACTATCCGTGCTGAGTGTGCTGACCTTCTCGTATAATGCCCCACTGTCTGGCTACCTGCATAAAGTTAAGTGCTCGGCACAGTGGTAGCGAAGTGTCGCTCCTCTGTTTTCATTTAAACAGCTCCTTATATCCGTTAGCGCAGCTAGCTAGCTAGCATCAGATGCTAACAACAACAATACACGTAAGGTCTCTCTCTCGCTCGCTCGGGCCACACATACACACACCCTCCCGGTCCTCCCAATAGCCAGTTGGTGCCTGCCGGTGAGCGTGGAAGTGTGGTCTGCTGCAAGCGGGCAGCAGGAGCGGGGCTGTCAGCATCAGCTTGTAGATGGTATTTTAAACTCGATACGCTCTGAAACTACGGGGCGGCCGATGAAAAAAATACACATGCGTTAATCGCGTTATTTTTTTTTTGCGTTAGCGCGTTATTAACGCGTTAACTTGACAGCCCTTAACAATAATGTACAATTATCAAATATTTAATAATTTACTAATCTTAAACTGATCAGCTGACGTCGAGCGGATATAAATATCCGGTTCCGGTCCTGGGTGAAATAACTAAACTAAAAATGTTGCTTCATACAATAAAACATACCGTAATCAAACAATATTGTCTTTATACATTGAATTGTCTTGGGCAATCCGCAAACCTCAATCTGCATTGAATGGAAATAAGTACAATGATTAATTCATGTAGTTATATAGAACTTTGGAATAATATGCACATTACCACATTACCTTGCAAAGACCTATATATATATATGTAGGCATTCTGTATGACATATATGCAAAAAGACAGATATATGAGCTATATATGAGGCATTATGTAGGAGATATATGCAAATATATGAACCTGACTTTGGCATATATGTGGAAATATATGAGCTATATATGACACATATATCTCCTATTAATCCACATATATGCACATATATGAACCTGAATATGGCATATATGCAGCATATATTCTGCATATATTTGCCATATATGTTCGTATACTTTCTTTCCGTGTGGGTTCTGGTGAAACGAATCAAAATGGCACTGCACATCCAAACAGTTATTTGAAATAAATAGAAAAATAAACTACACCATTTCTAACAATACTTACAATATTTATACAAAATATAGCCCGACATACAAGGTATACAGACAGGCAACACATGATATGTACAGTATATGACATGCCATTAGTCACACAAAGCAGTCTACATTATATATTATTCTATACTGCATGGACAAATGTCTTTTTTTTTACAAAACAATTTTCACAAACCTACATTCTTATGGTAAAACGAAATAGAGCCCTACATATAATGTACATCAATTGAAAATGTACTTTATCTTTACTCCTCACATGCAGATAAGGACAAAGTAGACTCCAACTATACGACTGTTGCATTTCCACAATATCGATCACTGACAATTAGTGTAGTCACAATGTGATTACCATCAGGACCAAACACTTATCTCTTTTGTGTGCTCTAAACATCCAAGCAACAAAAAAAACTGTCAACTCATATCAACATAATGATCACACATTTTAAACGATAATATCTGCATTGTTAACTGGAAGCCTTGTTATACGTAGACCTACTAGCCAACACAGTACTGAGCACGGCTACTAAATGTAGCGTAAATTAAATGGGATAAAATCTACCACTAATCCTGGTAGTTTATCATGAGATACGTGCCAGCGATGTATTTAATCACAAAGTGATTTAGTACTCAACTCAAGATGCCATCTGATTAAGGGTAGACATGTTTGTATACTCAGTGCTAGCCTTCACATAAAGCTTCCATTGTTGTCTATTTCCATTTATCTCTCTGATTTGCATTGAATTTAAGTGTCCCTTCAAAGAAATCCTAACCTCAATGGAATTTCGATTGAATAAATAGAAGAAAATAATAAAATAACTCAGGACAGATGGATGTTGATAAAAATGAGGATATTATAGTCTCCTCACTAACAGAAGCACTTATCGTTGGTTTCATGTGACAGAAGCAAATGTAATGAGATTATTGTAACACAATTTACCTGGCTGTTTTCTGTGTAATAGACTAGACGTAATGAAAGATAAATAGACGTCTACAGTATGACAAATGAATAGTGTAAGTAGTATGTTTTAATTATCCAGAGTGTTTAATGAAGACTCAGAGCACTAATGTGATCCAACTGATTGTATGAGCATATGAGTATTTGCGGCCATTTTCTCTTTAATAGAGAGGATGGAATGTGCACGTAAGGATCGAGAAACAGTGTCCCCATGAAAACCATGATTTCAATTCAAAACAATAAGTGACAAAAAGAAAATCCTTCTATTCAGAAAGCAACTCTTTTACACAATTGAAATAAATATATTTTAACATATATATTATCACCTATTTATGTGCTCTCAGACATTAACTGATTTCATACATCCTGATAATTTTCAAAGACACATATGTACAGAAACACTGTACCTCCCTGAAGAAACCCCCTTCAGACTTTACTTAGGCAATGCACATTTGGGCCTTTGCTCTTTGATTTCTATAATAAACAGCTGGACAGTTATGGGTCCAATAAATATATAACAGAAGTAGATTCACAATAGAAGAATACCAGGAAGTTGTTGTTGGTAGACATGTGAGCAAACAGAACTCCAGAGAATCCCCTCTGCTGATGGATGGAAACAAAGACCCTTAATGCAACTGTTCCTTTAGTTTGAGACTGCACATTTTCATCAAGGATGTCCCTCTACTATGGATACCTTTGATCCACATCAATCAGTTTTTCTGGTGGGTGTGGATGCTCATTTTCTCTTACGTCTTGTTTTGCAGATAACTGAAAGAGTGCCTCTAGTCTTTGGTTGAACACCACAGCTGCTTCAGCAATCTGACACTGCCTTCTCATTCACCTCCTCCAGACTGACATGATATGCTCCTCACCAGGCATTTGGATTCTTCTAAAACCTTAAAAAACACACGTAAAGTGGGAAGTTTTGGTTGTATTCTAGTAAAAAGCTTTGCCCTCTGTGTCGTCTATATCAAGACTTACCACTGCATTACAGGATGCCATTTCCTTCACACGCAGCATCACTTCTTGGTTAAATGTGGTTGGCCAGAAGACCTGCGACAGCCAGACCTCGACTGCATGCTTCCTTGTGCCGTGATTTTCTTTCTTCCACAAAACAGCATCTCGTTGCCTGCCATCAGGAAAGAGGCAAGGGTGGAAATACAATGATTTTCAATATATAATGCATTCCCAAAATGTTTTGGGAAAAGGGGAAATTAGGTTGTTATAAAGAGGAAACAAATTAGCTGAAGTGGTATTTGCAATAAAGCCTTGATAGTGGCTGGCACCCACCAGAGCTACAACCCAGGATCTGGGGAAAGGTGTAAGAGGAGCATCCAGAGGGGGGTGAGGTGAAGGGCAGCACACGGAGTTTGGAACCAGGCTCTCTCACTGGCCCACACCACATCACACAAGGGGCAGGATCGAGGCCCCTAAAGCCCAGGGCAGGCCCATTTATTGCTGCCCACGATAGGTTTCTTGAAGTGGATGAAGGCCAACACAAACTCCCTAAAGGAGAGAAAAAACAATCAGTACAAACTATGTCAAGAGTTAGAAAAAGTCAGTGTTATAGGAGAAATATTGACTCTTACCTGACAGCCTCTGCGATGCGGCTGCTCTCTTTCCTGCGGTCAGTTGGACAGGCGCTATCAGGTACGAGGGCTCCAGGCCGCTGCAGAAGACGGTCCCCACGGAGCTGAGCAGTAATAATTTACTGTCATCAGCAGCTGCATTACCAAGAGCTCGACACAATTCCTTCATGATCTGAAAAGAGATAGGAGGAATTGGCATTTCATTCTTAACTCATGTGACACATTGAGAAAGGTTGAGAAAAAAAAGGATGAAATATACTGTAGGTATTCAATCCTGAGACCAAGGGCTGACATCGACTCAGAAACACTTTTGGCAGACAGGCCTAAGAGTTAATGAGAAACACTGGGTGTGCAAGAATGCTTATTTCTAGTCCTACAACACTAACAGTTTATGGAAATTATTACAATATAGTGTTTAATTTGTTACAAAAACTATACAAAAAAGGATAATAACGTAAATTACTAGTTTCTAATTATGTAGATCAATAACGTTAATTCCATTGTTTTGCAAGTAACAATGTATTTTTAACCACAATATTCTATCTTCTTCTGATTTTATAAAACACAGATGGAAGTGAACTTTTAAAGAAGCCACATTCCACTGAAAATGGCATTAGTAAAACCATTTTACACAACAATGAAATACAGAACAATGGAATTTTAAGCAGAAAAAGCTAGACATAGTGCTAAGAAAATATAATATCCTCAATGGAAAATAATTTTGGTAAAGTATCAGCATTAGTATGTAAAATAAATAAAACAAATCAAAATCAGATGTTGGTTTTGACTTGCTAGCTAGGCAAGACTTATACCAATTTGAATCTTTAGAAAAGTTGTTGGCATGTTGTCGTGCAGATAAAGCCAAATACTAGAAAAAGATCTGATAAATAAAACAAAAACAAACAAATGATCAGTGTTCAGTTGATCAACTAACAGTAAAATCATGCTGTGCCGAAACAGGCTTCACTGCCAGGTAATATCGGAGGTGCATCGTTCAGCATCACAGACACGTGTTTGGCCTTTGTCTCGTGTGAGGAAGAAGGGAGAGAGCCTCCATTGTCAGACAGCCGACCTGATAAGAAGTCGTTTGGAAACCCACACCACCACATCACTGACTGCAGTCAATCGGCCCACTCTATTGCTGCATTTGAATCAGATTATCACCCTCGACCCATATTAACCATTCAACCTCAAAGGGAATCTGATTCTCTGTCTCACCAAGCACATAATCTGTCCCCAGTTTTAACTAGATATGATGTGTGACTGTGTGTGAGTATGAATAACGTTATTCTAGCAAGGTGAACTAAAGATCCTGATACGTAAAGCAGCGGCAGATGCTGGTTCCAGTCTGTGAAACAGAGAGGAAGAAGGGAGCTTCAAAGTGACATTTGTGGGCAGTGAGCAGATGCCTCCAGGACATTCATAGACAAACACAAATGGTTTCCACAATAAAGAAAGATGCAACAACAAGCTACAGTTCCTTAGAAATAACATTGTCATGCAGGGGTGAAAATAAGTCAATCAATCATATTTTCTATGTATTTTCAAATCTAGTATTTCTTGCAAGTTTCTTAATGCGTATTGTGGGTCAAAGTATTTTTTTGCATTTTTCTGTAGGGCGTTCTTTTATAGCAGAAATAGCTGGACTTTTTCAGGGGGTACATCCAAAAACCACTCCCTCGTTCATAGGGTTGGGTATCGTTTGAATTTCCACGATTCTGATTCCGATTCTACTTTTCGATTCCGGTTCTTAATGGTTCTCAATTCTGATTCTTTGAGGGGCAGGGTAACAAAATTATACATGCTTCTTCCACCAAAAAAATTACATTTATTCAAGAAACTTTTACACAGGTTAGTTTACAGTAATATTCACATTAATCAGTCTGTTTATATTCACTGCTATGTAACTGTAACCTGAGAACCACTGAAGCTACAACAGTGCAACTTTTAAAGGAACCCCCCCCCCCCCCCCCCATTTAAAAACAGTTCTTGTTGAGAAAAACAAGCATATCTGCCTTCTCAGGGATAGGCTACTGGGAAGAAATGTTTGAACATTTTAAAGTCAAATGCATCTGGTGCACTTTAAGCAGAATTACTAGAGACTAGATCTAGGGGGTACAACTCTAAACACCCATATGAAAAAGATCGGTTTACATATTAATAATTAAATAAGTATGTGAACATAACCAATAACCTACCATAGCCAATAACAAATACATGTAACGTATTTTATTTTTGTTGTTCATTCATATCTTATTTTACTATTTTATTTATGCATATTTTTGTATCTCCAGTTTAAAACGATATGTCTGGTTTACTGTCCTATAGTATACATTGGAATGATTTCAAACCTGTTTTATCCCAATAATTATAAAGGAGTGCCTTGGAAATATGTGTTTACATAAATTGTGATCAAAACGTTTGAGACCCACTGAGATAAGTTAGACTAAAGTGAACTATCTAAACACTCAGAGTCCTTTATAGTCTAGCAGGAAGGGCCCTCAGATTTTGAGATACCCCTACCCGAGGTAGAACAAATGACAACAATGATTTTTCTTATCTTTAGGGTCTCCCATTAATGAAAGTGATTGTTGTCAAATTTTATTTTGGGGGAAAAAAATGTTTTTTTTTTACCTCACTGAGCTGTAGTTATCAGACTCTCAGTCTGACTGGAGAGGACTCTCCCTCCACATTATTGTAGAAACATATTCTTCTAATATCCGTTTTTTAGAGCAGCTAGCACCTCCCTTTCTCCCTCGCTCCCTCCCACGCTCACTCGCACTTTGGCTGTGAGCTACGGGTGCCAGATAAGCCAACATCCCCCATTTTCATCACTTACAGCGCCCATCGTACAGGGCAAATGAAAAGTGTAACCGGAATGAAAAGGGTGTTACACTTACTTAATTATGAATGTTGTTACATCAAGGCCAAAAATTAGGATGAGCACCAACGGTCAAAACATTTTTTTCCCCCTCCCATTGCTGTCAGCGCAGCGCCTCCACAGATCTGGCGCCCTAGGCGAACATCTATAACGCCAGTGCGACGGGCCGGTGTCGGTAACAGATGTGTTCGGGGTGTCACTGATACATTGTCAGAATAAGTGAGAAATGAATGTAACTTCTGTTAGACAGCCATATGCCATACATTTTTGCACACATTCACAGTAAATATGTATTCAGTATGATAGCTGTCTAACAGAAGTTAAATCCATTTCTCACTTATTCTGACAATGTACTTAACCCCAAATAAAAGAACCCAATAAAAAGAGTTGTTAAATAATAGTGAAGTCACGTTGTAATAACAATAACTCATCTCTCTCGTTTTATTTTTGAGCTTTGCTAAAAGCCACTGTGTCAAGTGTCCATCTTGGGTTGCCGTCCGGAGTTGTCCAATATGGCGGACCATCTCGCACATGCGCACTGCAGATCGGGCAGAGCTGCAGATCGGGTAGTGACAGTCACTACCCGATCCGTCCCCCTTTTTAGCAAAGCTCAAAAAGAGAACTCGAGAGAGATGAGTTATTGTTATTACAACGTGACTTCACTATTATTTAACAACTCTTTTTATTGGGTTCTTTTATTTGGGGTTAAGTACATTGTCAGAATAAGTGAGAAATGGATTTAACTTCTGTTGGACAGCCATATGCCATACATGTTTGCATACATTCACAGTCAATATTTATTCAGTATGATAGCTGTCTAACATAAGCACAAACCACTAGGATTTACAAAACAGCTGTCGTATTATTTCGGAACCGGTTCTCGGTACCCAACCCTACTCGTTCAGTTATTCCCTGCTCCCTGTGGAAAATACAAAAGTTTACTAGAGCAGTAGAGTACCATGGAGATACTTCAAATCAAACAAATAAGAAAAGAACAGGTGTAAATAATGACAAACATAATGGCTGACTTTATTCCATTGCTTTAGATTCAGGGTCCAGGTATTATGCATGCTGGCTCACTGTCTCGGTTTACTGGGACTATTAACTCAGACACGTTAATCTAATTAGTAACACCTGTGCTAATTTCAAAATATCTTTTTTGAAAAGGGCCAACTGGGACTTAATACCCATTCTTAATCATTGCTGCATTTATGGCAGGTGTGCAACAATGAGCATATAGTATTTACATAAAAAAATAAGAAAATTGACTAGGTTGTAATTGTATGGTTTCACTATTAAAAAAAAGCGGTATACTGTAGTGCCGTGAAAGGGGAGTCGGAGGCGGTGTATTAAGAATGGAGTTCCAATCTTTATTATCCATTAATATCAGAGAGGTTAACACATGAACTGCTCTGCCTGATGAGCTAGCAGGAATGGCAGCTAAAGCTACAGGTGTTCCCACTAAAGGGTCCCTGTGGCAACACAATAAGCAAGGTGAATTATGGTCCCACATTGTGTCACCACAATACTTAATATTTCACTGATAAGTCCAAGATAATGTCAGATTTTCAACGTCAGTGTGCTGCCCGATATAAATATCACAACATTGGAATAGCAGTATAGCACAGACGCAGAAAGCTACTGTGTGTTGAGCGTGAAAGGTGACAGAAAGAGTTCCAGTAACAGCTCTGAAGACTTTCTCACCTAAAGCTTTGGGTGCTAGGATAAAAATGTTCGGGATATTTTTGAAGATTTCCAAAAGCCATTCAGCAGGCACATACATCTGCAGACTCTCTTGTTCCTGTAGCTTCAAAGACTGGGCAACAGAGAGGAGCTATCAGATCTATTTGATAAGCCCACGGCTTACGGGCTTACTGTCACACATGAAAGTACACACACATGTGCACACACAGTTTAGGCCACTTCAGGGCACTACAGGCTGTCGTGCAGAAGACACTATATCAAAGCCAGAACCCCCCTCTGCGGAATATCTGAGACACATCATTCAATCTGAGTGAAGGACAATCATCTTTTCTTAGATTTATGATATATGAGAGGTGGCTGATTGTGACACATGCTAAAGCAATGGACCTTTAAGGAATCTGTAAAAAGCAACATAAAAACATAATCTCAGTTCTCATTACTTGAACTTTTTTCTAAATGTCAAAACTGTTAAAAAGTATTAATGGATCATTTCAGAAACGATTTGACATATTAACAGATTAAAAACTAGTGATATAACACCATGGTGAGTCAGACATGATATATTTAACAAATACTGTATGTTATAAAATGTAGGAATAGTCAATACATAAAAAATCCCAAATCCTAAATGTTGGGGAAAGCTCTGTATAAGCAAGCTACTGAATATTTCCAGGGACAATGTTGAGGGAGCAGCTTGTTGTTGATTGCAGTGTGGAAATGAGCAACCAGCCACAGGCTGCTGCTCTCCTGCAGGCAGCCAAATCTACAAGTGGATCATCACAAAGCATGAAGCCACTGCATCAGAGCAGAGAACCATCAGACCACATTTAGTGTCGCACACATTCATTATAAAGCAGTCACTTTTCAACCTCTTCATTGAAAAAGGCTCATATAAAGCATCACATTGTAACACTGGAACTCAAAGGTCTACAGTCTCCACACACTCTTAAATATATATAGTGTTAGAACCAATGTTGATTTGAATAGGCTTACATAGAACCATTACACCCCTGTCCCTCACATGTGACAGATTACACCAAATCACAGCCAAACTCCTGAATTCATAATGCACAGTTTGTTCCACAACTACATGTCTGATTGACATAGAGTTAGCGAGTGATTGACACATTTCTGATGAGACTGTGATAAAACATGCCAAAAGCCAGGAGAGACAGGTTGTTGCTTTTGCACCCTAATTGCCAGCAGAGAATACTAATTTCATCAAGCACGAACATCTGTTTTGAGTCATCAAGAAAATAAACTGCCTGTTTAAACCAAATGATCTGACACTAATTGGACAAAACAGTTAAAGGTGGGGTAGGTAAGTTTCAGAAACCGGCTCGAGTGCACTAAAATTTGAAAGTACACAGCCGAAAATAATCCGCCCCTTCCTTCAGACTTCCTTACAGAGCACTTCCTCCAACACACATGAACGCGCACATGACGTCAGCAGACTGGTGAAAGTGGCCGCCTGTTGCTGGCGAGTCATTGAAGTACTGCTGCAATGCACGCCCAATGACGGCACGCCCAATGACGGCACGCCCAATGAGGGCACGCCCAATGAGGGCACGCCCAATGAGGGCACGAGATGGAAGGCTGACAGACAGGGCGGCAATCCAATCAGTTTAGCCGGCGGCTAAACGGATTGGTTGTACTTTTTACAGTATTACGGCTTCCACAGATGACATTTTTTTATGGATTTTTTGTCAAAGCACTTAAGATATTCATTGCTATCGGGATGTTAAGAGCATTCCATGGAATATAACAAAAAGTGTATCTCGAGCCGGTTTCTGAAACTTACCTACCCCACCTTTAAGTTATTGTCAACATTGCAAACTGTTATTTCTATGTAGAAAGTAGTGAAAAACATTGGAAATCTGGCCACCCCAAGGGTCTTCAGTTCTCTGGAAGATGCATTACATAATGCTTCCCTCTACGAACTTTCTGCATAAATATATAAGTAGTTCAACTAATATTTTACTGCAAAATCAACAGATAGCGTATCACTGGGTTATATGTACCCCTAAGACTCTACTTGTAGAAATATTGTTTGCTCGGAGGTAGGGGTGTAACGGTTCACAGAAGTCACGGTTCGGTTCGTACCTCGGTTTGGAGGTCACGGTTCGGTACAACAAGAAAAAGCAAAAAAAAGTCCCAAATGCATAATTCCAGGTTTGTTGTTATTTATGTTTGAACAGTAGTGCAAGTTTCAGTTTAAAAATAAAGAACTCTGACATTTTGAATAATTAACTGTATTAAACAGTTAAAAACAAACCATACACAGTACCAGGGCCGCCCCTGGCCAACTTGGGGCCCCAAGCGACATTGTGAGATGAGGCCCCCCTCCAACCGACAGGAGTGAAAAAAAATGTTTTGGAAACAAAGTAGGCTACTTTGCAAATATAATTCCTGTTTATTATTATTATCAACACAGTTACTTTTTTATACAGTGAGGTAAATGGTAAATGTGCATGTATGTCGTTCAGTATGCGTGTACAGGTGAATACGTCTGCATTTCCTGCCAAATACTAGCCTCAAAAAGATTAGAATATAATTAATGGAAATAAACTACTTCTACTAATAATAATAATAATAATAATAATAATCAATTCAATAATATAAATACTATATTATTTTATTAAAATATAGTTGTAATATAGTCAAGACAAAACATGCTTATGACATGCTCAAAAACTGATATTTCTTAAATCTGTATTCTAGTTCTCTCTGTCAGCAATGTATCAACAACTACACACACATTTCTATCAGTATTTCTCTGTGTTGTGGTTGACATGATTATGACTGCAGGAGTTAAGGGGAGAGGCTGAGCATCACCATGAAATGTGGAATTTGACATAAAAATGAATAAGAGGGGAACAAATGCTCCATGTTTTTAAGCTGTAAACTTTAACTGTTATGTAAGCCAACTAGACATACAGTGTATCACTCTTCCTCCTGTACATTAGCAGATAAAAGGCATAACCAGGGGTGCACATCACTTTTTTGCCCTGGTTCTCAAAGGAGCACCTGGAGATGTTGCTTGGTGCTCATCCTTAAAATGAAATAAACCGTAACTTTTGAGGGGGTCTTGACTTTATTTGCCAGACACACGGCACTGAACACACAGAGGTGAACACAGAACACACATGCAGAGGAGAACACAAGACAACATTAGCACGACCAGTAATCCTACAAGCTGTCATCACTACCCTCCTGACTGTTCTCCTCACTGTCTTCCTCTCTGTCAGACATGGTAGCTGATGATGTAGGCCTACTACTTTCTCTCTGGTTGAGTCTGCGATTAGCTGCTTGCATCCACAAGTCAACAGCTGGTTTTGGGTTGAAAGTCTCTGTTGTCATCTTAGACAAGTGGATGTAATCAAATAAGTATGTGAACATAACCAATAACCTACCATAGCCAATAACAAATGAATGTAACTTGTTTTATACATGTTGTTCATTCATATCTTATTTTACCTTAACATTTATTTATGCATTTTTTTTTATCTCTCCAGTTTTAAAGGATATTTTTGGTTACTGTCCTATAGTATACATTGGAATGATTTCAAACCTGTTCATCCCAATAATTATAAAGGAGTGCCTTGGAAATATGTGTTTACATAAATTGTGACCAAACCATTTGAACTTAGACTAAAGTGAACTATCTAAACACTCCGAGTCCTTTACCTCACTGAGCTGTAGTTATCAGCCTCTAAGTCTGACTGGAGAGGACTCTCCCTCCACATTATTGTAGAAACATCTTCTTCTTATATCCGTTAGAGCAGCTAGCACCAGATTCTAATAACAACAGCGCCGGTGCACCCTTCTCTCTCTCCCACGCTCACTTTGGCTGTGAGCTGCGGGCGCCAGATAAGCCAACATCCCCCATGTTCATCACTTACAGCGCCCATCGTACAGGGCAAATGAATGGTGTAACCGGGTTGAAAAGGGTGTTACATTTACTTAATTATGATATTGTTACATCAAGGCTGAAATTTAGGATGAGCCCCAACGGTCAAAATGTTTTTTTCCCTCCCAGAACTGCCAGCGCAGCACCTCCCCAGATCTGGCGCCCTAGGCGAACATCTATAACGCCAGTGCTACGGGCCGGCCCTGAGTTTGTGTCTGTGTGTCTGTGTGTCTGTGTGTCTGTGTGTCTGTATGTCTGTGTGTCTGTGTGTCTGTGTGTCTGTGTGTCTGTGTGTCTGTGTGTCTGTCTGTCTGTCTGTGTGTCTGTGTGTCTGTGTGTCTGTCTGTCTGTCTGTCTGTCTGTCTGTCTGTCTGTCTGTCTGTCTGTCTGTCTGTCTGTCTGTTTATCTCCATTAGCCTATATGCTATGCAGAGACTGCCTTCTTCATGTCGTGAATTGCAGCTGATGTTTTAATATGGCAATTGGCAATTTGACTTATACAACATTTGCAAGTTGTACATTTCACTCATACAATAACCCACCTTCGAGTGATGCTCTAGTTTCTTCATGTTTTGTTTTTTTTCCCTCTTGCTTGCGCCGGACTGAAACTGTCTTTTCACCGACATCTCTTCACCTGCACTAGTGGCCGTATCAAAGCCGTGATTGGTCAGATGTCGATTCATTGCAACGGTGTCGGTTTACAGACGTTCTCCCCTTGTAACGAATACCGTTACACCCCTACTCGGAGGTAGTTTTAGCAAAAATCTTTTTCAGTAGCCAGGAGCTATTTCCTAACCTTTTTGAGCGTACATTTTTGTTTGTTTAGCAATGCCCTGAGTCTGATTCATGCAGCTAAGCATATTTTTACCTGGCAGCTGTCAAATAAAACCACAGTTTTCTAAGTTGTCTTTTAAAATGCTTCCCTGGAGCCGTTTGGGAGTGTAGCATAGCTCTAGGGCTTCTCTACAGCAGTTAATGAGGAAACTTTTCTCATTTAGAATTCCCAGACCTAGCCCATGGCAACTGGGGTACGATCAAAAAGTTACATCAATGAACGTAGCTCTTGATACATAGAAAAACAAAAACAAGGGCGAGATACACATCCCAGTTCTTACCTCTGGTGTCAGAGCGTTGTTGTCTGTAGTTTGGCTGGAGAGCAGGATGTGAGTGAAGCCTTCCTCCTTCCTGACCACGATGTCTCGGAATCGACAGTTGCTCTCGTTCTGTCGCACGTTATACCTGAGCCGCTTGTCGAACACGTAGCCTTTATCCTCGGCCAGCTTCCGTTTTACTGAGCTGTGTTGATGCATCTTGCCGTTGGCCAGAGGAGGGCCTGACACTGAGGAGGAAGGACAAAACAGGTCAATGTCTCTTCTTGGACGTGTGTAGATTTTAGACAGTTAATCACAAACCACCAAAGAAACATTGTCTGAAATATGAATTTAAAATAAAATAAAAATGTATTGGATTTTTCAACCATGTTGTTGATTCAAATGTTATCCATTTCAATCGTTCGCTGTACTAGGAGTTAACTTTGATAAATATACAGGATACAGGATTTAGAAGGAACATTTTGGGATAACGATTTAAACACCAATCCACATTATTTATACTTCCACCAGGGGAAATTACCAGAGACTTTTCAAAGGATGTTGACAGAGTAGCTCCTAATTCTAAGAGATAAGCTTAGTATACAAATTATTTGTGGAGCTTGATTTTACTGGGTCTACAATATATTTGCATATCTGATGTTGAAAGGTTGTTGGTCTAGGTGTGCAACATTCCCTAAATAATTATGTATATGTGTCTTGTTGTTATGACATCATTCTGTATATTAACAAATATCAAATAGGTGGTGTGAAAGTTGAAAAAACAAGCATTAAACAAAGAAAATTGAGAACATGAAGTTTGCATCCATGTCTACAACTAAAATGTTCTATCATACAATTTGAACTTTGACTAGAATCAGATATATGGACATGCACTCAAAGCGTAGATTGAGGAATTATAGTTATTACATTTGTTGTAATAAGTTTTTTATTTTGCATATTCCATTCGCTTTTGTCAGGACAATTTACTGACGTCATTATGGATTTGTATGTAAGAACTCCTGCCACTCACTGACTTCCTGTGCCCTTGCTATCATCTATTTCTGTCATCACACAACATTTACTCTGCATGATATCAGAGCTTTCACAGTGGGATTCATTGAATTAGAATTTCTGTTGATTACATTAACATATCTGGCTTTTATAGAGCACACACACACTTTTTTCTGATTTGCTAAGTTTTTAAGGCCTTTTCACACAGAGAGAACTTGACTTTTTGCAGTGCAATCTAGAGAACCATTGTGAATTAAACATTTTGTTCACCTACAATGGTAAAAAGGTTTTCTGTAAAAGCTGAGAAACAAATATCTCTCTCACTTTCATTACATGAGTAGATAACAAAATAAATAACCTTGACTAAAGCAAAATATGAGTCCTTTGTATAAGATTTAGAGATGCAGTAGTCATGCGTCACTCAGGAACACAAGCGCAATCTTCCAGCAAGTGGTGTGATGATTTTTTGAAACATTTTAAACACGTCAGTGATAAGGATGCTAATACAAAGCTGGGTTTTTACCACAAACAACTGTCTGATATTAAAAAAGTCAGTGGAGACTTTAAAACGATCTAAAAGCCCTCTATGAGAGTCTCTGTTTTTAACCATGAAGGACTTCCATATAAATAATGCAGTGGAGCTGTAGACCCTGCCAGCACTTTACAAATCAGCAGATCTTGACCTTTGAATCACTGATAGAAACAGCAATCGCAAATTAAGACAAAAAGAGTTTGCTACACAGAAACTACACATTTGGCATGTTTACATTTACAAGATTTCTAAGACTCAAACCTAACATTTGACAATTTAAATGATAGTTGAAAATGACAAATACACAGCGATTAGCCTGGAAACATGGGATTTCTAATGGCAGCAGTGATTCCAAACGGTTGTAGGACAAGAAGCTGTGGCTTTGGTTTTACTCACAGCCTCTAGACACATGATAACACTATGCTGAACAATTCTAGATAATTAAGACGTGCTGTCAGAAAGTGGTGCAGAGTGCTTCCGTTATGAAGCTCATTGTCACAGAGACGCCAGCATCACAATCATTATAATTTATTAACAATTGCAACATTTCTTTGCTGCTGGCCTAAAATCAGAGGCAACCTCTTTCAGCAGATTACTGGGTGGAGCTGAGGGTGCTGAATGGGGTGAGCACGTAGTCTTTCAAGGATTAGGAAATAAGGATCCATAACGGCTGCCAGACAGATATCTGTTAGGTTGGTAGCTTTAATGTTCTCACATAGAGACGACCCGGTCTCCCTATTGTGGGGCTTTGAAACATGAGAGAACAACTGACTGACTCCATATAGAAGTCCAATGGAATATTTTCTATTTTGAATTTTACTTTCTTGTGTTTCTAATTGGCATAACCTCAAAAGTACACTAGCCAAAAGTGAAATACGTTGAATATTGGCAGGAGCTGGTCGATAACAGACAGCAAAACTGAGAGCACATACTGTACATACAGTGGGGCAAAAAAGTATTTAGTCAGCCACCAATTGTGCAAGTTCTCTCACTTAAAAAGATGAGGCCTGTAATTTTCATCCTAGGTACACTTCAACTATGAGAGACAGAATGGGGGAAAAGAATCCAGGAAATCACATTGTAGGATTTTTAATGAATTCATTGGTAAATTCCTCTGTAAAATAAGTATTTGGTCACCTACAAACAAACAAGATTTCTGGCTCTCACAGACCTGTAACTTCTTCTTTAAGAGCATCCTCTGTCCTCCACTTGTTAACTGTATTAATGGCACCTCTTTGAACTCGTTATCAGTATAAAAGACACCTGTCCACAACCTCAAACAGTCACACTCCAAACTCCACTATGGCCAAGACCAAAGAGCTGTCTAAGGACACCAGAAACAAAATTGTAGACCTGCACCAGGCTGGGAAGACTTAATCTGCAATAGGTAAGCAGCTTGGTGTGAAGAAATCAACTGTGGGAGCAATTATTCGAAAATGGAAGACATACAAGACCACTGATAATCTCCCTCGATCTGGGGCTCCACGCAAGATCTCACCCCGTGGGGTCAAAATGATCACAAGAACGGTGAGCAAAAATCCCAGAACCACACGGGGGGACCTAGTCAATGACCTGTAGAGAGCTGGGACCAAAGTAACAGAGGCTACCATCAGTAACACACTACGCCGCCAGGGACTCAAATCCTGCAGTGCCAGACGTGTCCCCCTGCTTAAGCCAGTACATGTCCAGGCCCATCTGAAGTTTGCTAGAGAGCATTTAGATGATCCAGAAGAGGATTGGGAGAATGTCATATGGTCAGATGAAACCAAAATAGAACTTTTTGGTAAAAACTCAACTAGACGTGTTTGGAGGAGAAAGAATGCTGAGTTGCATCCAAAGAACACCATACCTACTGTGAAACATGGGGGTGGAAACATCATGCTTTGGGGCTGTTTTTCTGCAAAGGGACCAGGACGACTGATCCGTGTAAAGGAAAGAATGAATGGGACCATGTATCGTGAGATTTTGAGTGACAACCTCCTTCCATCAGCAAGGGCATTGAAGATGAAACGTGGCTGGGTCTTTCAGCATGACAATGATCCCAAACACACCGCCCGGGCAACAAAGGAGTGGCTTCGTAAGAAGCATTTCAAGGTCCTTGAGTGGCCTAGCCAGTCTCCAGATCTCAACCCCATAGAAAATCGTTGGAGAGAGTTGAAAGTCTGTGTTGCCCAGCGACAGCCCCAAAACATCACTGCTCTAGAGGAGATCTGCATGGAGGAATGGGCCAAAATACCAGCAACAGTGTGTGAAAACCTTGTGAAGACTTCCAGAAAACGTTTGACCTCTGTCATTGCCAACAAAGGGTAAAAACAAAGTATTGAGATTAACTTTTGTTATTGACCAAATACTTATTTTCCACCATAATTTGCAAATAAATTCTTTAAAAATCAGACAATGTGATTTTCTGGATTTTTTTTCTCATTTTGTCTCTCATAGTTGAGGTATACCTAGGATGAAAATTACAGGCCTCTCTCATCTTTTTAAGTGGGAGAACTTGCACAATTGGTGGCTGACTAAATACTTTTTTGCCCCACTGTATATGCACATATTCTGCATGTTCTTTATTTGAGAACAGCCCAGTAAAAGGCCTGACCCCCATAACTAAGAACACAACATTTCTTTAACAGGTATTATGGATAATGAGAATAGACAAACTCATTATTAATCCTACCAATTACATTTGTATGTTACTGTTAAAATATGGTAAAAAACAAAACAATCATTCTCATCTGGATTTTGAACAAGTTTACTTTTCGTAAACGTTTGTAATGATTAACAATAGGCGTACAGGCCCTGGACTGTGACCCAGGAGTGAATGTCAAAGGCGTTATCAGCTTCTCCTGTAGTAAAGGTTTAGGAGGAGCTTCAAAAGCTGTGTGTAAGTAGGTGTCACTACAGCAGAAATGTTTTCCTGCATCTATAAAACAGGATATGATAAGGAAAAACATTTTCGGTTAAAACTTCTATGCATGTCATTGACTGGTCTGTGAGTCCTATATCCATTAAATGTACAAATATAAACAGGATACATCTGCACGGCTTATATTAGCCATTGCTATTTTTAGCCAATCAAACATACTGTATATCAGTACGGTATGGACTTACATGTCTAACAGCTAATAGGCAGGAATACATGGCAGTACAGACAGGTAATTGGTAATGTCCACCCACACTCTTCTAATGCCAATTTTCCACTTGTGATACACTACCTCATTTAGTCCTCTCTGTCATTTTGTATTACAAAAATATCCATACCAACTGCTGACACTCAACTCTTTTGTCTAGCTGTGACATTTAAAAAGGCAGACTGTCACTTTTAAAAAGGAACACATATTCTCCCTCTTTAAAAATATCACACCCTTGTGTAACAAAGTACACGCACAGATGTAGCTGCTACAGCTTTACTTGTTCTGATTGGACTCTTGGTGTCTGATGTGAGCTCATGCTGGCAAACTTTAGGTAGATATTGCTGTGTAACTGAGATTATCAAATCGGTTTGCTTGTTACTGTTACGCACGAAAAGTTTATTATTATTATATTCCGCCGACTTATTTTGGCCCTCTTCTCCTCCCGCATTGAACATCGCAGAAACTCAGTTCGAACATCAAAACGTTCAGCTCGGTCGGGAATCGATGGCTATTACTTTTCTCATTCATAACTTTCATAATTCCAGAGATACATCCCATAATACATCACATTTTTAACCATTGAAGTCAATAGAGAAATTCTTCAACAAATCTTCATGCGTCTTCAACTGCTAACTGTTCATTCATACTTTCACTCAGAAACCTCATTCTAACTTTAAAATGTTACACATCTTTCTGTCATTATTCGAGTAAAACAACTTTTAAATCTGATTCTTACTTTTAGAGATATTAAACATTGTTTAGACCTTGTTTTAGAGGTTTTCTTCAGATTTTAACATTAACTAGAGTGCGTGATGTCACAGCTAGAGGGTAGGAAATCTTGAAATTTGCCTTCATATATTTTTTTAAAACTGCCATAATTCCCAAACCCTACATTCCTGAGACATAATTTTTCATGACAAACGTAGGAAAACATCTCGTAGCTTGAAAAATGACAAATAATTAAGCAAAACAATTCAACAAAATGCCTCTTGAGGGCATGAAGTGACAAAAACGTTCAACATTCCTCCATTAAAGGAATGGTATGCTCATGACACTCATTTTTAAATAATTATCATCCGATAAAACAGACCAGTCTCTGCCAGTCTCTCTTTTTTTTTTTTTCATCCGATGACATTATCAGTGATTTTAAACTGATTAATTACAGAAATAACATCAACACTGTGGGCGGCGCCATTTTACCGGACGTGACGTAAACCATGCGTTTGGTTTCGAGGACACGTTGATGTTCATGTTATTTACTGTAGTTACTCTCTTCAAATATGCCTCATTGTATCGCGAAACATTGCCACAATTCTGATAGGAACAATCCACGGAATGCTCGGTTCCATCTGTTGCCAAAAGGTAAGCGTAGGAAGTACGTTCGGAGGCAGTGGCTAGCGAAATGTGGCCGGCCCGAACCGAAAGATCCACAGGCGCATGTATGCAGCGAACATTTCAAGTTTCCGGACGACTACTATGAGTATGATAAAACATAACATGGGATTTATTGAACAACCATTACTTAATGGAGATGCAGTACCATCGGTCTTTCTGGTGTCATCACCGACCAGGACACCAGTTCGGCCAGTTGAGAAATCGCCCTCTGCAAGTGTGAAGCGACGGAGGACCAGAAGTAGTGCTCGGAGTAAGAATAAGGTATGTTATGGCGCATTTCCATTGCAGCGGGTAGCCCCGTTTAAACGTCCTTTATCGTCCAGGCCAGGCCAGTTTTTGGTGGCCTTTCCATATAGCGTAGTACCGGCTAGTGGGTATTTCCCCCCAGTTTTTCCGGCCCCATAAAATCGTGGTTCTAGGGCCAGGGACAACGAGGCTGAGTATGCTAAACTAGAGAGGGAATCGCTAGCAAGGGTGGTACTACATGCATACATATCTAGTAATCAAAATCATTGTATCTACTAAGTAGTACTAAGTAGGCTCGAACCTGTATGGCTGAATTCCCCCTTCCAATCTCTTCATATTGCTCAAAACTTCGCCATGTTTTCACGTGTTTACAAAGTGAACGCATGGATGACGTCACGACCATCATGTGACTACTGAAAATGGGCAAAATGACAGCGGCCTGACGGAATATACAGGTTTTGATAAAAAAAGAGCTATAAAATCATTATTTACCGGGGAATATCGCTGATTTCTTCAGGGTATGGTTTAAACATAATGTTTCACTAAATACTGAAGTTTTGATTAATTATCTAATGAGTGGAGCATTCCTTTAAAGCCCATTGTAATTTCAGGCAGATATTTCCTCACGGCAGCAGCCGCACACCTTTAGTTAAACTGCCAAAAAGGCCACATTATTAACCCGAAACTACACAAAAATTACACTTCAGATACTCAACTTCCTTGACATGCTTCACGTTTTGAAATTTCACAGATATCCGTTACGGTTCTTCCACAAAACGTTCACATGTAAGAGGTTTATCTCTCATTCAGAACAATGGAAACCTGTGATCTCTGCACACCTCATTAGTTCAAATATAAACACCTGTGTAATGGAACACGATGATGTCATCACTCCAACTGACATGCAGCAGACTTCAACAGTCCAGCCATGAAGACATCGTCGGGACAGTTTTGAGATTTCTTCAAATGCCGTTGCCATGGCAACACAATGCTCGCCTTGAAACACGGTTTTCTCATAACTTCAGTGAAAATACTCCAAACAGCCCAAAACTTCACAGGTTTGATAACGATGCAGCCATCAATGCATCTAAGCGTAGTATGGGGTGTCATCAAATGCCGTTGCCATGGCGACAGACCACTCGCCATGAAACAGGATGTCGCTGTAAGTCCAATGGACACGGTCCAATCGTCCCCCAATCTTCACTTGTATATCACCGGTCCATGCCTCAACAGCTCTACCTCAAATCTGAGATCTCACCATATGCCGTTTCCATGGAAACGCATCCCTCACCATAAAACATGATGTCGCTATAACTCCTATGAAAATGTTCAAAAAGTGCTCAAACTTCACATGTGTGCTAACAGTCCAGCCGTGAAGACATCTACGGGATAGTTTTGAGATTTCTTCAAATGCCGTTGCCATGGCAACACAATGCTCGCCATGAGACACGGCTTTCTCATAACTTCAGTGAAAATACTCCCAACGCCCCAAAACTTCACAGGTTTGGTAACAATGCAGCCATCAACGCATCTAAGCGTATTATGGGGTGTCATCAAATGCCGTTGGCATGGCGACAGATCATTCGCCATCAAGTTAGTTCAGAAGTTTGCAGTTAAAATATTCTGCTGCTTTTCCAAGCCTTTTTACTTTCTTTTTTTCTCTCATCACACATTCAAGCCCCCAGTGTTCATGTATCATTTCAATCTAAATTCTTCACTTTCTTCTTACACATTACATTTCAGCATAGCAGTTTAGCGTCAGCTTTTCAGCATAACGCATTCCCACTAGCAATTTATTCAGGAATTGCATTCTCTAGTTTTATGACTGTTCTCTACTTGTGCTATTGTTATTTTCATTTGAACATTTACCATTATCCTGTACTGTTATCGTACATTGAGGCTGAGGGGGCCAAGGTTCAGCAAAGGTTATTCTCAATTAACCTGTGATGTCTGTTAGTGGCTCTAAAACATAATGGATACAATAGTACAATAATTCTGGTTCACTTTTGCGCTCTTTAAATGCTACCATATTAGCCATCAGATGACAATGTCAATATCTCTATTAAAGGTCTCAGATATATACAAAACATGTCTCTGAAGTGTTTGGCTCAAAATACCAAACAGATCACCCAATGTAGCATCCCATAATCCCCTCTGTTTCAGCCCTGTTTCAAAAGTGCTGATTCTGTCTGTTACTTTAGATGAAAATAAGGAGCCACTCCCCACGCCCCTCTGAGAAATATTTGGTTAAAAATAACACAATGGTGCTCTAGGAGGAGATTCAGGGGGAAAAGGGGGGGGGGGGGGGTTACCTTGGTTGGTTATTGGCTAATGGTTACACAAGCCAAATAATCCTTATGACATCATAAAGGGGCCAAAATCTGATCAGCTCATTTTCAGAGAGGTTTTTATGAGGTGAGCAAATCTTTTTTCCTGACATTTTCAGAACCTCTTTACACAGAGGGGACACATGTTTATGTATAAAAGACAGGAAAAAGTGGATTTTGCATAACAGGTGACCTTTAACATCTTACTTAGCTCAGTGGTGAACTGTTGTCCAGTGGTTTCCATGGCTCCTAGTTCTCTTTCCGCTCTGTCCAAAGGGAGTCTATGTGGCCTTGCTGTTGTCCTGTACATGAGAGGGTCCATGTCTCCATTCTGCAGTCCGTTATGAGGGACCCTCATTGGAGGAACAAAGTGATGCCCTCCCGGTGGAGGAGCCTTGTACGTCATGGCTTTTCTTATCCGATCCCCTAAGGCATGTTTCCCAGGTCCGACAGCCACCTTCTTCTGCTTCTGCGTGGGACCACCTGACCCTGAACTTCCCATCCCCAGAACAGCTCCTACTCTAACTCCAACAGCTGGGCCATACGTCCTTTTTTTCTTTCGGGTCTCAGATCGAGCTCTGGAGTTTTCTGTAGCAGATGGCTGGCTGGTGATAAGGGGCTCCTGACGATTTTTTGGAACCTTGGGCCGTTTGTGTGAATGCAGTTTCAGGCTGTTGTACTGGTCAATAAATTCCTCGCAGTGCAGTAGGTGGTGCTCTGGCTCCCATGTGTCCTCCTTACTGCCATAACCTTTCCATCTTATCAGGTATTCCCACTTGCCCTTCTTGTTCCGCCTCTTGTCCACGATGCGCTCCACCTGAAGGCAACATACAAAGAAATTAGGAAAGGTTTTATAGAATAAAACATGATGTCAACAATGACCAAAGTAATATGACTATGTTTTTTGCCATAATCAAGTATTGCTGTAATTATGTACAGTTTGATTTTTAACTGTATTTTGAGCCATTGCTAGGGAGTGTAAAAATGCAAAAAATGATATATTGTGTGATATTTGTCGTGTTCAATATTAGGGCTTATTCTCTGAGATGAGCTACAAGCTGCTATCATCAATAATCCTTAAACATCAGCCTTTGGAGGCCAAACCAAACCCAGAAAAGCCTGTGTAATTTAGAATATATTAGACCAGCAGAGAGCATAAAACATCAGCAAATGCTTATTTTGTCGAAGGTACTCTATTATGTGCATCTACGAAATAAATCCAGTCTAAAAAGGGACACTTTTCAGAAAATACACAAATTCTTATTCGATTAAACTACGTGAGTACGGTTCTGGTGTCTTTCTTTACAACCTGAATGTAATAAAGGATGGCATATAACACCAACACATATACATTTGAATTAAAAAAGGAAGATGGTGCATAAGGCAATGACATATTCCATCATTTGCTAAAGGACTAACTATGACATGATTGTCTACAAACTTGCGACCAATCACTCAACTAATCAGAGTGTGAATCATTGCTTTGCAATTCAACTTGATTGCATTCAACTTGATTTGCAAGTCAGAAGGTGCTGATAAGACTCTTCTGAGCAGTACCATAATTTCATATTAGCACATACATCCCTCTTTCACAGAGACAGATTAAACTTGGGGTTTTAATGCCAGTGAAAAGGAGCAGGAAGTAAACTAAAATGTAATATTTTGTGACTCCTTTGGATGAAAGATTTTGATATGATATACTCATTTACATCACCAAAAAGTATATAACACACAGGAAACAGACAAAATCACACATCAAATCACATAAAAACAGCCTTACCCCACACAAACATAGACTGTCAGCACCACCTATTCTCAAAATATGCAAGTCCAAACCTGCACCATTGATGACACAATACAGGTTTTGGTTGAATATATATGCGTAATGTTCTTTATCACTGCCTGACATCAGGGTACATTTATGCTGACAAACACATGACGTGCAATATACAAATCACAAGCATCCTCAGGCATCTTCTGATTTTAGTGTATAATAGCCAACAGTTACTCTAAAACAGGGATCACCAACTACATTTGTCCAAGGGCAGACACTTTCGGGGGTCAGCGATTTTATATATAACCCTGTCTTAACGGAGCCTCGTAGCGGGGGCTACTGCGGAGCTCATAAAGCAGACTCTTCACGTTAACGAAGGATCACTTCTTCGTCAGGGCAGGGAAGGCTACTGTCCCGCAGCTGCTGCCTCTCTGTTGGACTCTGTTGGGGGGGGGGGGGGGCGCATAAAGTAGAGATGGGTGAGTCCTGATTCATCCGGATCGTAGTAATGAGCTGGTTGTGACGAGTCTCCCCTCTCGATTAACCCGAGTCCTTTGAGTCCTACTCCTGGTGACGTATAAATTGCGTCGCTCGCTACCCTCCTTATAACATGTAAAATCACATTACAACGTACCCCAGTCAATCTGCCTAGCCTTTAGCAAGTAGGATAGCTGCCAGAAGTTATCGTTTGGCTCAGGGGACACGGATCAGTGCAACTTGCAACTTCCTGCAGACTCGTGCGGACTCAGAGCCGTAACCGTAGCAGATCCAGAGATCCAGGCAGACTCATCATGGACGAGTCAACAGCAGACTCAGATTCGCAAATCCTGACTCACTGAATCATGGGAACTTCCTTCACTTCCTGCAGACTTGGGGGGACTCAGAGCCGTAACCGTATAGCAGATCCAAAGATCCAGACTCGTCATGCACGAGCATAGCCGCGGAGACTGGGAAGTCATTTTACTTAGGAGGTGCGGACAAAAGTGGGGAGAGATTTCAACAACAGTAAAATTAAGTTTTTCAAATGTACACCATTTGCAGCACCGCCTCCAGCACCCCTACGTCCCGCGGCTATTGTGAGTCAACAGCAGACTCAGAGATTCGCAAATCCTGACTCACTGTGCAAAACATAGCAGACTCGTGTGGACTCAGAGCCATAACCGTATTGCAACAGATCCAGAGATCCAGCAGACTCGTCGTCATGCATTAGTCAACAGCAGACTCAGATTCGCCAAATTGCAAAATAACCCTTTTTTTTGTGATCAACATTTTTTATTAAAGCAAAAGAGACTGTGTAGCGGAGGTTAATGTAACGTTAGTTTAATATGCTTGTGAAATGCAACAACTTTTCGGTTTCACCGGTAGGATTTCTACGCTCTTGGTGATGCTGACTCATATGACTCAAAGGACTCGTATGATCCGGATCTTTTCAATGACTGACTCAGAAGACTCAGAGTCCGTAAAAGGATCCGGATTTGCCATCTCTAGCATAAAGCAGACTCTTCACGCTAACGAAGGATCACTTCTTCTTCAGGGCAGGGAAGGCTACGCAGTACGCAGGCTACTGTCCCGCAGCTGCTGCCTCTCTGTTGGACTCCGGTACTGCACATTACTCAGGAGACATTGTAAAAAAAAAACGAGAGGGGGGCGAACGCACTAACCACTCCAGCGCCACAGCGCGTGCCGGATGAGAATGTCTGGCATGCCAGATTTGGCCCGCGGGCCGCCAGTTGATGGTGACTGCTCTAAAAGATGCATGCTTATTCCAGCATTCTGGTCTTTAAGACTTAGAATACAAGTTTGTTAAAAGTACTCATAAGACATTTTGTGCTGTGAGACTGATGGAAAATAAACAGCCTTTGATCGGTGTGCCGCAGGGGTGTCACAGAAATGAACAGACAATTAGGTTGCTTAAAGTCCCAAACAATGTCACACTTAACAGCATTGCAGAGAGACACGCATGCAGAGAAAAGAAGAGAAGGAAGGAGAAAGCATGGGGTAAACCGGTGTAATCGGAGAGGGTTAGAAACACTTGATGCTCAAGAACGAGCTGGCACAGAGTTAGAAAATGTGGGGCAGTGTTATCCTCCAACACCAAGCATACAGTAGTGTTTTCACCACATTGTTTGTATACATTCTGACTATAGCAGCATTTTTTATATGAGGACCAAGCAAAAGGCTCCATTTACATTAAGCCATCTCAGATTGTAAAGACTATTTTGTGTGAAATGACCTGCATCAGCACTAGTGCTTTCGCTCTCTACAGGATTTTGCGGAGACATCTGCCCGCAGTAAAAACGGCTGAACAATCGAAAAAGGCCAATCTTTTCTTCTTCATCCTCTATTCAATTGTGTTATGTCCCCACTAAGGCCTAGGGGACCTGGAGACAATAACATACAACCAATAAAAATGAGGGAGTCAGCGTAACAGTTGACAAAAGGTTTATTTTGTGTAAACCCCGAACCGAACGGACATATCATTGAAACACTCTGTTGGTGAGGAGGAGGAGGAGTCAAAGGATTGTGCCAAACAAAAGAAACAAGCATAACAAAACCAGGCCTATCTCTACATCTACCCTTCGAAACCAAAACTCAAACAAAAAAACCCTCACTAACTAAACTACAAAGAATTTGACAAAACAATATACAGGGGTGGCAACAATCCGCTAACCTAGTGTGTCTGAACATTAGTTAGCTACGTGGTGAGAAATGTACAGGGTACCCCAGACTTACCTAACTCCTCCACCTCTCAACACACACACTTTCAAAAAGGTCAGACAATACAAAGAGAATGAGTTGCTAAACACTGCAGGCTCCTTCATCAGCAGCAGGCCCAGAGTGAGAGAGCGAGAAGACTTCCTGGGTGCCTCCTTTATGGTCGGCCCTGGCTGCTGATAGGCCAGCTGAGGGTGAGAGGATCCAATCAGCCATCAGACTCAGGTGCACAGGCAGATACCGATCAGCTGCTGATTAGCTGTGCAGAAGACAGGGAGAAGAGAGAAACACAGGAGGTGAAGGAAAACCACACAAGTACAGCCTGCCTGGCACGTAACACCCCCACACATATAAATCCAAACAGTATGTTTGGACCTGACAATGAACATGTTCTATTTACATAGCACGAGATAGTGCATCGGCAAGAACATTATCGGACCCCTTTTTATGGCTTATGTCAAGGTTGTAGTTCTGGACAATCAATGACCAACGCATAAGGCGTTGATTGTGGTTGTACATCCTTGAAAGAAAAACCAGCGGATTGTGATCTAGATAACAACCTGTCCTTCACTGCAAACATCGCTGCTACAACCCGTTGCTGCAGATACACGCTTTACAACATCAGGAAGATACGTCCCCAGCTGACACAGAAAGCGACTCAGGTTCTGGTCCAGGCTCTCGTCATCTCACGCCTAGACTACTGCAACTCCCTCCTGGCTGGTCTACCTGCATGTGCCATCCGACCTCTGCAGCTCATCCAGAATGCAGCGGCTCGTCTGGTCTTCAACCTTCCTAAATTTTCCCACACCACTCCGCTCCTCCGCTCCCTTCACTGGCTTCCGGTAACTGCTAGAATCCACTTCAAGACACTGGTACTTGCTTACCATGCTGCGAATGGATCTGGCCCTTCCTACATCCAGGACATGGTTAAACCGTACACCCCAGCGCGTGCACTACGCTCTGCATCAGCCAAACGACTCGCTGCGCCCTCGCTGCGAGGGGAACCCAAGTTCCCATCGGCAAAAACACGTGGGTTTGCTGTCCTGGCTCCAAGATGGTGGAATGAGCTCCCCATTGACATCAGGACGGCAGATAGCTTGCACATCTTCCGGCGCAAACTGAAAACTCATCTCTTTCGACTCCACTTCGAGCGTTAGAACTATTAACGAAGCACTTTTATACTAATAAAGGACTGGCTTACCTAAAGCCAGTTGAGTAGCACTTGAAATGTTTGGCTCTATGAAACCTGATGTACTTATATGATTCTGTTTTCTTCAAGGTTGTGTCTTCCTGGTCGAATGTACTTATTGTAAGTCGCTTTGGACAAA